TTTTATCGCATGTTTTTGAGAAAAAATGATCATCTTCTCTTATGTGATAGTCTATGCATTTATAATAGAATTCAATATTGAACCAAAAAAGTTAGTGATTTATGCTTCAAAGGTTAATCGTTATGGAACAGTTGATTACCGTTGTCGGAACATTTGGTGCGTTATGACATTAAATACATATATGATACACTAATTTTGACTGAATTTATTATTAACCATAAACAATTTCAAAAGAATATCATCCATCGCGAGGAGTTCTAACAAATCATCCAAAATGCCTCACAAAAAATATTTTTATTACATTAAAGTTACTAATTAGGGTGGCAATCAGTAATGGACCATGTAATGCCGACAAGAAGATTAAGAAACAAGAAAATGAAGCATAAATAAAATTAACAATTCAGGTTGTATGGTCTTAGTTTACGTTAAAGTATTTTTTGTGTAGTTAAAATGATAAATCAAAGTACTGGACCATTCAAATTGTGATGTTTCATATGGTTTCATTCCAATCATTTTGATCCATACCTAATATTCTAGTAATCATAATGTAACTAGTTCGACGATTGTACTGGTCCAACCGCTCATTCGGTTTCGTTCTTGTAACAATTAACAAGGTGTTGTTGATATGTAGAACTATATATATCTGGAGACGTGCATGCAAAAGCACATACTATAGACAACGGAAGCAGGTAATAAAATGGAATCATGTAATTTTTCTTCTTCTTCTTCTTTGAAGAACATGGAAACTAAAAGCAAATCTTCAGATCGCAGAACATTCAAATTAAAACAAAGCTTTGATTAGGTAATGGAATTAGTTCACCATTTCAAGCTTTTTTTTCTTTTTTTTTTTTTTACAAGGTGTGTCATCATTAACCAACATTAATTGCCACTAACTTTCTTGTCGCCTGTTGGCTCCGCGACTGCAGGAGCGGGGCTGGTGGCGGCACCTCCGGCGACAGCTGCAAGCGGAGCCTGTCCGGCAGCGGACTCGACGACGACGGTGGTGTCGCCGGCGTTCTTGTCGTTGCTGACTTCCATGACGTCCGGTATGTAAGCATTCATGGTGTTCTTCTTGGCTTCCTCGGCGCGCTTCTGCCAAACGGGGTCGTACACGGCCGGGTCCGCGTTCAACGTCTGGATCATTGCGGCGGCTAAGCACACGGCCAGAACCAGAGCCATCTTTGCTGACGCCATCTTCTCCGTCGTCTGTCTGTCTGTCTTCCCCTTTCGTCTGGAAGTCGTGCAACGAAAAAGGAAATTTATTTATTTATTTGAAAGCCACAAAAGAAGTAGAAAAATTTATTGTTATGTTTTTTTTTCTGGGTGATGCAGAGATAATTTATTTATATGAGAATATTATGCACTAAAAATAAAGCGTGACCTATATTTAGCTCTGCTGCTAATTTTCTGATTAACGAGAATTAATACTAAACATGGAGTTAAGCGGAGAGGGTGGAACACCGTTGCTTTCTAATGGTTGATATACCGTATCGTTGTATATGTACATAGGGCTGCAAACGAGTCGAGTCGAGTTTTTCTTAACTTATGTTCGGTTTGTTTGTAAATTTTTCAGCTCGAACTCGAATTTTGATAATCCAGCTCGAGCTCAGCTCGATTAAAAATAATACAACTCGATCTCAACTTGGTATAGCTCGGTAAATGTTCATTAACACAGGTTGTCAAGCTAAGTACAAACTCGGCTCAAGATGAGCTCGATCTGAAATCATTCTTGCTGAAAAATGTGTACACATAAGAGTTTAAATGATAAAAAGAACACTAGAAACTAAAAATAACAGTTAACTTCCATACACATTCGTATTAACAAGATAATGTTCATGTTCAGAAGAGTAGTTAATCATTCTAATAGCTCTAAATAAGCCAGCTCGTGAGCTTAGCTCAACAAGCCACCGAATCAAGCTAGCTCAAGCTTGGATCATTTAGTAACGAATCGGATCGCGAGCCGACTTGTTAACTAATGAGCCGAGTGTGAAACGAATTTTTTCCGATTCGAACTCCGAGTTACTCGCGAGCGACTTGGCTCATTTGCAGCCCTATGGACATGCTATAAGAGTATATTAACGGGTGTTGGGCTTATGGAGTCGTTTTGTTGTTCTGGGCTACGATTGATGTGTTGGGCTTCCATGATCGGCTGTGCTCATTGCCACATTTTGCAAGCCTTTTTGGCCCACCACCTTAGTCTTCTTTACAAACAGGAGACGCTTAAAGTACATCATTACCTTGTATTTGTGCAATTTGAATATTTGTTTATGTTCAATAAATTTAGTTATTATCTTATCTACATTTGATTCCTAATTTGTTAATTATGGAGTTTGATCAACAAGAATGATTGCGTCACTCATCTATCATCTGAAATTGATAAGATAGAATTACTAGAGATTCCAACAAGAAGATGATTGAGAGGGAACCGAACCGATAAAGTTGTTGTCTATGATCATCTTATGTATTCATGATTGTAAAACTTGTCGATGAATATGCACAAAGTTGTTTGTCCAATTTACGAACAATCGTGTCCCACAGAATTGAGTCATGAGGTCATTATTCCTCTTTTCAAAGAACACAGACACATTTTCGAGGTCGACCAATATAAGCTTGACATAAACATGAATACAAAGTTTGCATAAATCACATGCAAAGAACATGTAAGTAGTACTATAGCTATAAGCATAGACTAAAGTTTGCAGTTGCATCGCCTCTCACGAAATTGCAGTTTGAGGTAACAAAAGACAGGCTTCAAGAGAGAGCCAGGATGTGTTTATGGCAAAAACCTCCAGACACACATTTCGTCAAAGTGCAGCAGTTGAAACCCCCCACCACCAGCATGCATGCACTTAATTATATTCTCTCGTTACTTTTGACCACATTTGGTAAAAAATTCCCACTCACACACTCCCCATATAAACTCTTTTCAGTACTTCCCCAATTACTTCCCTTGCAATTCACTACTTTATTCCCTCTTCCTTAGTAGCATACCCTAGGCCTCAGTAAGTTATCATAGCCAACCTTTTATGGGTGGTGTGAAAGAAAATCAACACATATTTCGCCTACTTCTTAATCAGGCCTAAATATTATAGTTGCAGCTTTTAAAATATCGTATTCGTGAGAAAGGAAATCATACAATTGTAACACATATATATATGTGATGCATGTGCACGAATTACAATCGTCTGATACCCTTACTCGCAAATTTCTTTCATAAGATGATTGCTCGATCATAAACATTCATTTGATTGAAAGAGTAAGGAAATATAAACACAATGTTTAATTACAACCATATTCTCAACAATCAGTGGCACAACTAGGTTATAGGTGGAGGGGGTTATTATGGCCCCTCTGACCCTCTCAATCTATCACAATATAGGTAAAAATACACGTAAAATTTGAATAAAATTTAAAAATTAATACAATTGGTAAGACCAATCCTTCCTATACGATGGACTGTCACGATTCAAATCTCTTGAACTTCATATATTTCAACCTCCCCTTCCACGCTGCCGCGGTTTTATTACAACTTGAAATTATGAATATACGTACGCATATATATATGGTACGGATACAAAGGGTGGAGGAAATACATAAGTCTTGGTGGACAGCATCCAACAACTTTCCGTTGGTAATGTTGGGGGGCCAAAGTTGGTCCCTTTTTCTTCATCAGATGGATCCCCTCTCGCAGTTTTGGAAAAAGCAGTTTAATGGAAACCTGATGATTGATGAACAAGATTCAGCAAATAGAGTTCTTTCTGTCAACCTGCCTATATGGCTAGCTAGCTATGCTGTGCTTTGCCTAAAGAAAGTCCCATTAGCCAAAAAGACATATCAACAAGAAGCTAACGATGGAGGAATCTGTACTTTCGACTCATTTTATGATGATGAGACTAGACAATGTGTAACTTAATTTTGGCTGATCCATAGCCACTCAACGGAAATAAATATGATACCTAAACCATCTTAGCAGGAAAAAAGCATATGACTTGGAGGAAAGTATTATAGACTATATAGCATACCTTCTGTATATGATGAAGTCATGTGGGATATTCAAGCACATAAAAGGTCATTATATGTGGCGATTATTGAAAAATCCGTCACTAAAATTTTGACTTTTTAACTTATTTGTTCTCGAAGTTTAGAATAACTGACAAAAAAACCACTTGATCTCCAAATTCGATGGTATTTATGTTCGACAAGTCTATATCATGGTTCCCGTCATCATTATTACTAGTAAAAAGACACATAGAACCTCTAAGTATCGATTAAGTGAATGGAGGAAGAGATTATTATGGTTATTTTGAGTAATTTTGGTTGAAGTAGGATCACATTATGAGTTTGATTTAGTTCAAACATGAATGAAAATGTCAGGTAAAGGGAGGGAGAAGTTATTAGGATGATTCCGAGACAAACTGACTAACTAAAATTTGATTTAAGTTAATGAGTCTATCAAATAAAGTCACAAATTGCTCACCATTCATCCTTATAAGCCAATCAATGTTAGAATTTGTTACTACTTTTTGCATGATTTGACGCGCCAGTATATATGGACATTTTGTATGGAAAACCTAACGTTATTACTTGACATAATCAGTTAACCCCTCTTGTAAACTACTTATTCCAAACTTCAGTGTCAAGTTTGTGAAGAATCAAACTTCAATGTTGGATATGTCAATAACCTCAACGTTTAGTGATCATTTTGTACAATCCACCCTCTTACTGGCTGATAAGTAATAAGTCAATCGTTATAAGTAAGAACAAGAATAGTTTTTTTATAATAGAATAACAAAAAGAGAATAAGAACAAAAAGGTAAATTAAAATCCAACCAGGTTGATGTCTTATTAGCACATTTTGTAAGAAAACCAATCTTGGGATTCATCAGCACAAACTTTTGAAAACCTTTCCCTTTTTTAGATAGCTTCTCACGAGCCATTCCACGTACAAATTTTCTCAAAATCCCCCACCAATATATCCAATAACCATCATCATAGTCCTCATCATCATCATCACAAAAAAGAAACATTCTTAAAGAGAGCAAAAACTACCAACCCAAATGATAACATCAAAGGATGTCTACCATGTGGTTGCAGCCACAATCCCACTGTATGTCGCCATGATACTTGCCTACACATCAGTGAAATGGTGGAAGCTGTTCACCCCAGAGCAATGTGGTGGGATCAACAAGTTTGTGGCCAAGTTCTCCATCCCATTGCTCTCCTTCATGATCATCTCGGCCAACAACCCTTATAACATGAGCCTGAGGCTCGTACTCGCGGATTCGGTTCAGAAACTGCTGGCGATTGTGTTGATTGGAGTGGTCACCAGGTTCTGGTTCAGAGGTTGGAGGCTGAGTTTGGTCATTACAGGGCTGTCTCTGTCGACATTGCCCAACACGTTGATCATCGGGGTCCCGGTTTTGAAGGCTATGTATGGTGGCGAGGCAGAGTCACTGCTGTCTCAGATTGTGTTCCTGCAGAGCATTGTTTGGTACAATTTCCTGCTGTTTCTGTTTGAGGTCAATGCTGCCATGGCTGCAACTGCTAACCCCTCTCCAGAAGTTGCAGGTTAGTGGTTTTGAAATGCTCTTTTTAGTCAAGTTTATTGTAGTAAGCAAGTCTTTAACAAACACATCCCTATACTATGTGCCTTCAATTAATTTTTAGTCCCCTTTTCAAGTACACATTTTGCTATAACAATGCAATCATGGGTTTAGTAATTAAGAAACTGATTATTAAATATGGGTCAACCTCACTAGTAATGAATTTGGATTAAAATTCTGTGACTAAGCGTGACACTAACCCTTCTTTTCTTTGCATCTTCTTTAAATACATTCTGTATCTCTAAGGTGGGAACCATAGGGATGGTTCTGATCAAGGAGAATCAAAGGATGGAGCAGCAGAACATGAACAAGAAGCTTCTGAGAACAGAGGAAGGGAAGTGAAGAAGACAATAATGTCCATTCTCATCATAGTTGGAGGCAAGCTGATCAGGAATCCCAACTTTTATGCTACTTCGATTGGCTTTGTCTGGGCTTGCATTCATTTCAGGTATCTTTGCATAGCTAGCCGTTCATCATTGGTCAGAATCAGCTTCATCAGTTGACTGACTACCATTGTTTGCTACAAATTTTTTGTCTGCAAGGTGGGGGATAAAGCTGCCAGATGTTATCAATAACTCCATCATGATATTGGCAACAGGTGGACTTGGCATGGCAATGTTCAGCTTAGGTAATGACACCAACATTTAGCTTCCAATAAAGGCATAGAAAAAGGCTACCATTTGGTTGTGCCCTTTAATCCTGGTCTTGATCACAGGGCTGTTCATGGCATCAAGGGCGAGTGCAACTGCTTGCAGAATCCGAGTGGCAGACGTGGCAGCCATGGCGATGAAGTTCGTTGCAGGGCCGGCTCTAATGGCACTCTCTTCTGTCGTTGTAGGATTGAGGGGCAGAGTGCTTCGAGTTGCCATTGTTCAGGTCTAAACTCAAATTCCACCGCTGGTTTTATCATACATATTTCAGGCTGAATAACTAGCTAGTCGTTTTTTTGCTGTTGCAGGCTGCTCTGCCACAAGGGATAGTGCCATTTGTGTTTGCTAAAGAGTACAATGTTCATCCGGATGTTTTGAGCACATCAGTCATATTTGGGATGCTCATTGGGTTGCCAATCTCTCTTGTCTATTACTCACTGCTTGCATTCTGAAAATCCAAGATCATCCCTCTCAAATGCTGAAGTATGAATTTGCTTTAGTTAACATATGTTCTCTTTGCCATGCACCCCTCGGATCTGCTTTGATAGGCAGAGTAGTTGTGGTACTGACAATCTCACATAAATAACAATATGTTGGCCATGATTGGTGTTCAATTAAACTCTTGGATTATATGGTTATGTTTTTGTTAGCAAAAGTCAATTTTTGGAGTTTGATCCTGCAAAAGCTTATCCTCTGGACACAATCTTTGTCTCATACTCTGAAATTGCTCACGCATCATCTCTAGGGGTGTGCAATGAGTTGGTCTGTATAGGAACGCACTGGACCACACCGAATCGAATATAATATGATATGGTCCTTGGTACTCATGAATTTTATAAATATTGAAGAAAAATGGATCGAATTGACATTTGCATCGGATCGAATCGGACCAAATGTACTGTTTGTTCGGTCTTTAGTCCTAAGATGTCTTTCACTATTGAACTGCAGTTCACTTAAGTTTGATCTAGTCCGAAACGGATCGTACCATTATACACTTCTAATAATTTCTTACATGTTTATGATCTTATCCAACGAAACTCTTCATCATCACTTACTTGAATACTCATCCTCCCATGCAACTTGCTCAAGATCCAGAAGCAACATTCTCTAAGTATTAATGTGAGCCTTCCATCTCCAGTTAGGAATTAGCATCAAAATCATGATCCCAACCATTTCACAATGTGTGATGTCTGTTCCACATGATCTCTATCTAAGAAGCAGTTTTTAACACCATCATCGAAAAACGATATATAATAAATCATCAATCGTTGATTTGAAGAAGAAGAAAATTTTCTTTATCAATCACCACATATAATGAAAATGTATGCCTTTAGTAGGCTGCAATATTTATAGCCAAGGGTCAAGAACTCTTTTGTTTTTTTTTTTTTTGTGATTAAGGGTTAAGAACTCTTTTTTTTTGTTAATTTTTATTATCAAGTCCATGAATTGAGTGTAAAATGATTTGTAATTAATGTCATACTAAGTGACCTACTTATTCTTAAATAAGGATGATCAATTACGCGCAAACAACAATTTAACTAACCACTTCAATAAAACACATCTAATATTTCTTGGAGAATAAAAAAAACAATAGTTTATTCAATTTATATTTCCCGAAAATTAAATAAATAACAACTGCTACCTATCTATGTATTATCTAATCCAAAAGCCTTGGGCAAAGGGTCAGTCACTGGACTCACTACCACGCCTCCTTGGCAAATAAGACAGAAAAAAAAATTAATATCTTTTCTGGCAAATACATAAATGCCTCCCAGATTAATAATCGGACGGCTAGTATCGCTGAACACCGAAACAAATTCGATAAAAAATAAAAAGTCCAACCGATTAAAAATAAAAAACCCCCCGAAATTAGGTCTCCCCGACTAGCTATATAAGATCCCAAACCAACCGGCAACCGAGCCATAGCATTCCCACTGCTCCGAGCTCCACACACACGAAGAAACACTCTCTCCATTGCTCGGTGATCCTTTTTCTGGGTTTTCGTAGGTCAGGGTTCATAGCTCGCGAGATCAACCATGGTGAAAGGTCCGGGACTCTACTCCGAAATCGGAAAGAAGACCAGAGGTATTCGTATTCGTTTCTCTCTCTCTCAGCTTTAATCGGTGTTCTTCTATAATCGGTGACGGGACTTGTCCGATTTGTGGATTCTAGAGTGGGAGATATGACTAGTTTTCCCGTTCTTGTGTAATTTGTAGATCTGTTGTACAAGGATCATCACGGCGACCAGAAGTTCAGTTTCGCCACCGTCTCTCCCACCGGAGTTGTGAGTTTTGCTTCTTAATTTTTATACGCTATTTCTTAAGTTGCCTTCGTGTCTGGGTTAGTTAATCCGTTCGAGGAGTAGCTGTTTGGTAGGGGATTCCATTCCCGATTTCTGTAACCTGTTGGAGCTCGAATTCGCATGTTTCATTAGGGAAACCATGGATGTTTGGATTGGTGTAACTAGACCAATTTCATGGTTGCTCTTTTGCTTCTAAATTTGTTTGGCTTGGCTAATTAGGCCTCCCATTGTCCGCTTGTGATGGATCCTATCCTATAATTGATTGTTTAGTTATGGCTGTGGGATTCGTCATGGTACGATTAGGCGTATGATTGATTGATTGATAGGGGTGTCGAAAATTTGTTCTGCTTCTTGTGTCTGTAACTCAGTGGGCTGTGCATTGCCATTTACATGGCTAGCTAGTGCTGATTGAGCCTTACTGGTAATACCTTGGTGTGCAGACGGTTACCTGTTCTGGAACGAAGAAAGGAGAGCTGTTTCTGGCTGATGTCAATACTCAGCTGAAGAACAAGAATGTGACGACTGATATCAAAGTGGACACTGGATCCAACGTAAGCTGTCCGACTCACTCTCGTTTTGTGTAAATTTGCTTGCATTGATTATATACCAGACCAAATTGTTTTTGCTTCTCTGGTTCCCTGTATATCACCTGCCTTAATTTGCGTGAACTGGGTATGATCTAGCTTGGTATTGGTAGTTCCCCATTTAAAGCTTTCAAAAGATGTCAATTCCATCCCTGGCAGTCCTTTTACAATATTGAAAGTTGTTGAACTATTGTTTCTCTGCCAAAGGAATAGCTGGGTAGAAATTACAATGAAAAAGAGGCCACATGGGCTGTGAATTCTGTTGTGCATCTGTATCACATCTATTCTCTGTAGATTATTATTGTTGATTCTCCTAAGATTGAAGGTTCTCCAGTTGCAGATACAGAGATACTTCTTGACAGTTTGACTTGAACCTTTCTATAATTTGGTCTGTTTTTATCTGAATTTCATGACTGTACCTCGGTCCAGTCTGCTCTTCTGAATAGAAATGGTATATTGGTTTAGGGTCAACTAGTGAACATCTGTTCTATTTGTGTACTCATGTTCTGTTTTTTTGTACATCTCAGCTTCATACCACTATCACTGTTGACGAACCTGCTCCTGGGCTGAAGGCAATCTTTAGCTTCAAAGTTCCAGATCCAAGGTCTGGAAAGGTAAATCATCAACTATGGTCTTCAATGCCCGCCTTAAAATCTTTTTACTTTGCATTGTCGTGTGATGTCATGTTAATTTATTCATGTTTCATTTGCTGTAACAGATGGAGCTTCAGTACAAGCATGAGTATGCTGCTGTAACTTCAAGCATTGGCTTGACAGCAAACCCTACTGTCAACTTCTCTGGTGTTGTTGGAAGTGATGCCTTGGGCCTTGGTGCGGATGTTTCCTTTGACACCAAGTCTGGAAACGTCACTAAGTGCAATGCAGCATTGACCTATGTCAATGCTGATCTTGTTGGTGCTCTGAGTTTGTGAGTAGCCATAGTCTCTTGCCCCTTTTTTTATGTCGTCGTTGTTGTTATGTGCTTCTCTACTGATCAATCAAATTGCGACTTCCCTGAAACTTCTCCAATTCAGGAACGACAAGGGTGATTCTCTGATTGCTTCCTACTACCACTACGTGAACAATTTCACTGCTATTGGTGCTGAGGTGGGCCACAGCTTCTCTTCTAATCAGAACAGCATCACCATCGGCACCCAGCACGCTTGGGACCCATTGACATCAGTGAAGCTCCGCTTGAACAATAGTGGTAGGGCAAATGCTCTGATCCAGCACGAGTGGCGGCCAAAATCATTCTTCACTGTCACTGGAGAGGTAGACTCCAAGAACATTGAAAAGAGTGCCAAGGTGGGATTGTCTCTTGCTCTCAAGCCATGAGCAAGCATTACATGCCCGTTTTTTGCTGGAAGGGAAATCCTTTTAATTTTAGGAATCTGCAGTATAGTTTCACTTCTCGGTTTAGCTCTTAGAGCTCGGTTGTTGACTTATTCTGAAGGTGTTTTGTGATGCCTTTATTTCCATGTTCATCGATGTGCAAATAAGAATAGAGTTTTGTGGAATCCCGTTACCTATTTCCATTGTTTCGGTTCACTGAACAGAAGTTTTGCAGAGGTTGGATGCTGTTGATTCTGACAGTTTATAATCTATGATTTGGTTTATCGTCATAGACATGATCGATGGTACATTGTTCATGATTCATCTTTAATTTTGAAGTTTATATATCTCAACATCACGAATTCTAAAACCAATGTTTCTTCATGATCCATTCTTGATTTTGAAGTGCATATCTCTACATCATGAATTCTAAACTAACGTTTATTTCGCGATGAATTCAAGAGTAGATGATAGCTGCGAACATACTCAAACAAGAGTGTCGAGCAAAAGCCTTTTCTGGTGGATTTCACACCCACATTCTAACACCTCAAACCAAAACAAACTGCAGAAACCAGTTAAAAAAATAGTTGCTATTACCATTAGTTTAGTACCCATTTGGGTAATGGTGGCTTGGGGGGATAACATAAGCTCCTGAACTTGTTGCCTTGCACGCACACTTTCATCAAACACATACTATACTCTTATCCCACTACAATATTATGGAAATCAAGTTGGACGCTTTCCATACTGTTACCGCCATAGATGCTAAAGCTTAAACACATATAATGGATGGATAGATAGAAGCTTATGGGATTTTTCACTGAGGAGGGTTTGCCTGAAGGAGACCATCTCGAACCTGTGCAGCAATGTCGTTGACAGCACCGGGACCATGAGGGATGAACACGGCAGTAGACTTGCTGGCAGCGCCGATCTCCTTCATGGTGTCGAAGTACTGGGTTATGAGGACCATGTCCAGCACATCCTTGGCCGATGTCCCCGGGACGTTGCCGGAGAAGCCCAGCACGCTGTCCCTCAGGCCGTCGACGATCGCCTGGCGCTGGCGCGCGATACCAAGCCCGGACAGGAACTTGGACTCTGCATCTCCCTCTGCTCGCTTGATCTGCACGATCTTCTCCGCCTCTGCTTTCTCGTTCGCCGCCAGCCTCAATCTCGCAGCTGCAGTAAGGCAAGTTTGCAATATGAGCAAAGCTGAGTGGTGGGCTAATTACAGAAAGAGTCACTTAACTTTGGGATAACGAATAAACTGGTCATTAAGCTCTGACCGTTTGATTGCTGTGTAAACTGTAAAGTAAGTAAAAGTTCATTGTCTCACCAGCATTGATCTCGTTCATGGCCCTTTTCACACGCTCGTCGGGCTCGATATCAACGATCAGCGTCTGAACGATCTCATACCCGTACGCAGACATGGCCTTCTCCAGCTCGTCTTCAACTGCCTTGGCTATCTCGTTCTTCTGCTCGAAAGCTGCATCCAGGTTCAGTTTGGGGACACTTGCTCTGATCACTGCAAAATATGAGATCATGTTCATTTTCTCTGGACTGGTTGGGTTTTGATTCCGAATTCAAGATTGTAGTGTTTATGTAATTTACCGTCGAAAACGTAAGCCTGGATTTGGGACCTGGTGTTGGTCAGCTTGTAGAAAGCATCGTCTGCCTTGTTGGCCAGGGCCCTGTACTGAACTGAAGCCACAACGTTCACAAACACATTGTCCTGTGCCACGTGTCGTCAACCCACAACGCAGAGGATTAGTGATCTGAAGCGAGCGGAGGGTAAGAGTAAAGAAGAGTGGAGACATTAACCTTGGTCTTGGTTTCACAGCGAACATCAAGCTGCTGCAGGCGAAGGGAGAGGCTGCCGGCGACACTGCTTCCGAGGAACCATGGCATGCAATGGCAGCCAGGCTCAAGAACATCCTCAAACTTGCCAAACCTTTCCTTCATGGCAACTGTGGACTGATCCACTTTCACACAGCAAGACAGGTTCCCCATCTTTGTTTCTCTTAGCTTCTTTGCTCTCTCACAGTGGGAAGAAGAAGTTGTAATGGAGAAACTGCTTTGTGTATCTTGTGAATTGGATCTACAGTATGGGAAGCAGATTTATACAGGTGAAGAAGCTAAAGACAGGAAACTTGACCTAACCCTTTTCTCACCGTAGGATTGAGCGATTCCCAATTTTCCATAGATGTCCAAAGATTGCATGATAAGTAATTGCAGTTGCATGTGACTATCAGCAAGAAATGAGAAATGCAACATTTCCGAGTAGAGGACAAACAGCAGCAAATAGGCATCTTTGAGAAAATTTCCAGTTTGGGAAACGGTTCATTGAGTGATGCTGACATTTTTGGTTCGTCATGGAGCCCAACACGGCACACAGTATTGAGCTCCCCACATGACAAATATCTACAGAGGGTTGGTGCTTTTGATGGGATTCGAATTATTGGTTTCCCCATTATTGCTCTCAGTTTGTTACAGGTTAGCTTGTTACAGTTTCTCTACTGGCTGAGGTTTAACCACAAGCAAAGAGCAATTAATGGCACTTATGAGGACCCAAATGCATAAAGTTTGAAACTTTGAAGAAAAAACAGGTAAAAAATAGCTTATTGTTTCATGGTAGTAGTAATGTCATCAAATTTCATAGTCCACATTGTCTACGGCTACACTAAGAAAGCCTAGTTAAACCCAGTTACTGATTGTTTAGGGAAGGAATGTTGAATCAATCAGTTTTCTTTCCCTGAAGAAGGCCATCGCAAATCTGCGAAGAGACATCTTTGACAGCACCTGGGCCATGTGGGATGAACACAGAAGAGGACTTAGAGTGAGCTCCAATCTCTTTCATGGTATCAAAGTATGTTGGGATTTTTAGTGGTGTGAATGGAAATAAAAGGGGAAAGTTTCAAGAGAGTCTCTTGAAGTACCATGTTGGTAAGATGTGGGAAGGCATGACCTCGAATTCGATCGATTTGATGTAATATGTGGTTAATTGGTTAAATTGGTTTGTGTAACCAAATGAACCAAACCGAGTTGAACCAATTCGAACTGAACCGATATGGCGGTTGGAATAACCAAACCGGTCCAACTTCCATGAGGCCGAACCAATGCAATGGTTGAAATATTTTAAACGAACCAATGCAATGGTTGGGGTGTAACCACCCATATGAAGAGTTGCCTCCCTTCAATGCATCCCTTCATTTTCTATAAATAGCACCATACCCCCTCTTGTTTTAACAACGAGTTTTGCATGGATTTTTCCTGATACTGAAACTCTGCCAAAATCCAAAACTAGTTTTTCTGCATTCCTTTTCAAAGAGAAAATAGAGTCAAGTGTGGTTCTCGCCGTTTCTCTGCGTTCGATGGTTTCCGGGGTTTGAGGTACCGCTACGCCGGAAAAGGTACGTCCTTTCTATCTTGGGAGGAATCATTCCACAACCTTGGGTACTTGAGGGGAATAAGATTCTTTAAGGAGAGATAGTGAATTCTATCGGCTAGGACGCTTGCATGTGTCTTTGCATGTTTTTCTTAATCTTATGTGTTTGCTTGTGTTGCAATAAAATAGTATACGTGAACAATTTTCCCAACAATCTTAAAGAATCTTAGAGTTTAGTTAATTGTTCATGGTGCTGATTTTTTTGCATGATATGTTAATCTCTCTGTTTTGGCATGGCATTTGTGCATGTTACATGATTCTCCAAATTTTGTTTTGCATGGCTCTGTTAAACAGAAAGAAAGAAGAAGGAAAAAAATGCATCACAGTTTGGTTAATTCAGTAGGACACTCGGTTCCTGTTCATGCATAAAGTGGATTTCGAGGGTTGATTATATAAATGGGGTTGATTATTTATATAATTGTTGCTTTAGAGTTCAATTTATCTTCGTATCTCGTTAAATTGTGCCGCATGTGTATATATATGTATATGGTTGGTGTGTTTTTCTGTAACTTTTTTGCATCGGCAATGTTTGGACAATTGCCGAGAAACGTCGGAAAGAAGAAACAGTAATGGCGATTGGACAGGAAGAGTTGTATTATTTCATAATGCAATACTTTGTTGGTTTTCGGAGAGGAACGAAAGGAAGAAGAATGTTTTTTTTCTCTCCCTCTACTAGTTGCTTCCGGAAGGATAAGAGGGCATTTTGGCAATCCTTTGAAATCGGTAACACTCTGTTACTCTCTTAACTCTAGATGTGAGAGTGGATAATATATATGGTTTATACTTTATATATACTAGTAAGGAAACCCGCGCTCCGCGGCGGGGAGATCGTATTGGGAAAATGTGGAGTTTGCTTTGGAAACTGACATATTTGTGCGTCCATGAGTAGATTGAGTAGAGAACATGCGATCTAAGAAAAAACAGGATGATTTGTACATCTGTAAACTTTGCACTGGAAATAAACATTAGGCACATAATGTTATTATGAATTGCAAAGCGGGTGTTGCCATACTAAAGCAGCAGTACATATTGGTCGCTGTCAGATTGATTAATTGGGGAAATACAATTTAGATATTGTGCAGTTTTGCATTGAATGTGATGTAAAAGAGTGCCAATCGGTGATGGTGGGGCAACTGAAAGTTATGTAAATGCTTGTTGAAAATGGTGGAGATGTTGACATTTTCCCCTTAAAATTGCAATATAAAAGGAGTGCTACTTAAGGAGCCAGAAGGGTTGAAAAGCAGGATCACATGTTATGCAAGTACCCAGAAGAGCTGAGGCAATATGGTGGATAGGTGACGGCAAGAGTCTTGCCTGTTAACATTTGTTCCCAGACTGATGCAGTAGAAGTTTTTTGACCCCTAATAAATTTTGGTATCATTGTTTTTTTGCGTAGGTAGACCTAGAGAAGGTGGAACAGGGTGTCACCTCTTCTCTTGGTAAACCCGCTCGCGTTGCTTCGCATAACAATGATAGCAAAAAAAGGCATATCATGCAAACCTGACAGCGAAATGGATGGAAAATGATAAAAGGAACATTTGAGGCTCTTAATCAAGCAAATCATAATACACTGGTTGGGCAGAATTGCGGCACTTGAAGCACACACCTTATTTGACCGACTACAATTTTGGCTAGTGGACAGTAACTCTGGATTTATGAGTTAGAATGAATTGAAAAACATACTAACTGACATTATCAATCGATATTCAAATAAGATCATGCATGTAGCTATCCTCAACAACTCCCTTGACAATCACCTATTACACATTACAAACAACATTGGATACACTAATACATAGAAACCAAGAAATCTAAGAGTGTGAAATGGATGAACCCATCCGTAATAGATTGAACTCCAGCTGGTGCGAATTGAATTTCCTAGAAAGCAATTGCAAATTTTAGTTAGAAATCCATCACAAAATGTTGTAAGAACAATAAATTCCCACTAAAAGTCAGTCAAATGGACTGATCAAACATCATATGTATGCCATACATAGACATAAATGGATAGGAGAGGGCAAGTTCCATGGAGCCAACAGTTGGCCGCAAAAAAACTGATTGAAACAACTATAGCAATTCAACTTACAGAATGAGTAGCAGTAACAATCATAAACCTGTCTTTATATGCAAGGCAATATCTTACTAATAAAAAAGAAATTCAGTTTCACAAAACTAACACGGTTTGGCTCTAGGACCAAGTTATAAAAAACACACCTTACAATTTATAAACGGTGATTAAAATTCAACATATGCACCATCACCACCACGTTTCACTGCCACTTCCCATTAAAGCGACAACCAAATGAAAATCGATCTGTAAACAAACATTGGTAGGCAGAGATTAAAACTAATCGAAACCAAAATAAAAGCGCACATGCGCACATCATTCCTCAAGAGTCGAAAACGATAAACTGGAACAACTACTAAAGATCCAACAAAACCAAACATTTCCTCACTCAACCTTTCATATGCCAAATAAATACCTATAGGATCTTAAAAATTCAATCATTGAGAGCTGCTCTATATTTAAAATCAAACCTCAAGTAACCTAGAGGGAAGGTTTAGGCAACAGTTGAGAGAGTTAAGATCTGAATTGAGCAGCAAGAAAGCACCAAATCTGACGTGAGAAAAAACATAATGTAAAACCTAACCGAAACGAAACCACCCGAGTTTGTCGATTCAGAGAGGATGAGCGGAGTCCTTTTTTTTCTTTTTCGATTCCAATAGAGAAAGAGAGGCTTCCTTGTCCTAATACTGTCATCGACCTCGTTGATTCCAATACCCCTTATAGTGCAATAAAAGCATCCACCAACTTCGTTCTGTATAGGCCCTCAACATTCCTTCCCGTGTCACTCTTGATTCCATAGATGACTTCGTTTCTGCACTGGTGTTGTCAACGATGCCTCATGTTAGGATAATTAAATAATTTTAAAATAAATCAATTAGACTATGTAAAGAAATTATAATAGAGGTCTGGGAATTGTAGAACATGTCAGTAACAAAGTTAAAAGTTACAGGAAACCAGAAATGTATCTCCCATATGCACCGCTCTACCATTTGAAATACATCTTAGTGCAAGTATTTAGTTTTGTTTATTTATATCCTACCGTAGATCATTAACAAAAGTGCAGCATACAATTCATTCGAGTACACCATCTAAAGGATAAACTGGCAAATCAAAGGAACAAATCTAAGGTTGCAAATTTTGTCATTGACAGAAAAGCTAAAAAGTTGAAGCTTGAAGATGGGGTTAACAAAAAAGTAGCAAAAACAAAGAACTAATACTGACAGAAAGATAATGGAAAATAAGAATCTAAGCATGAAATACTATAAGTAGGAACTCCATAGCAAAAGCGGTTAAAGTTGTGCACTATTCAAGCTTTGAGGAGAATAGAATGAAAATGGAATAATTTCTTTGCTCCTTGTTGGCCATCACCAGTTATTGGATGTGGCTAATGAAAACTGAACTGTTCTTTTTACTTAAGGCTATATTAAAAAGGCTACATAGCGGGAGATTACATGATGAATAAAAGCATGTAATAAAATGCAGTATTAATTGTTGGGGAGCAACCAACAATGCTTCAAGTGTGAGGTTTTTCCTGTTTTATAGGTTGATAAAGTCCATCGAACGATGGGTAATACCTGCTAGACAAATACAGTTTCAGGTCAGAGAGACACACACATCAAATGCTCTAGTCTTAAG